CAGCTTTCGGTTCGATGCCCGAAATCTCGGTGATAGGAACACCTAACCTTTTGATCACGGGTGGAGGGGTCGCTCTGCATCCTGGGCGGCCATTTAAAGAACGGCTCGTGCTTGATTTTATGGAGCAGCTTGAAGATGGGTTCCTTGAACACTGTGTGAATTCCTTTGGACGGACCTCCTGGAGGGGGTAGCAATCCCTTTCGGGGAATATCTTCCCGCTCCTTCTCTTTTCTCTTAGATTGGAAGGCTCGGCCTTTGCTGCTTCCCATCTCGTCCTCAACCCTCGCGTATTTGTTTATCCGGGCCATTAGTTCCCCCATATCCGAGGGAGTCTTCTTGGTCAGGGACCGGTACAGGTCTATGTCCCTTGCCAAGCCGAGTCGAAAAGATTCTGCTGCCATGACCTCCGAGTAGCCTTCTACCTTATTAACCTCTTCCCAGTATCGGATGGCGTACTGGCGAAGAGTCTCAGATTCCCTCCATCTAAGGGTCAGCAATGATCCAATGTCTTTGGAGCGCTTACTCCCCGTAATGAATCGAGCCAGGAACTGCTTAGTCAATTCCTTCCAGGACTCAATACTGTTGGGGGGAAGCGCCTCGAATCACTTCATCGCAGAGTCCCCCAAGCTCATAGGAAACACTCGGCAGAGAAACCGTTGGTCCGAATGATAGAGGGACATCATCTGCTTGTATTGCCTGACATGGGCTTCGGGATCGGACCGCTCGTCATAAGTTTTGAACCGCGACACGACAAACTTTCTTGAAACCTCCATCTCACCGATCTCCCTCGTAAAGGGCGTTTGTATGACTTCGTCCTCGGCTTCATCCTGGACAGCCTTACCCTTTCTCCTGGAGTCTAACCGGGCTCTGAGATCAATTTCTTCCCTGACGGGATGCCTTCTGAAGTCCTTGAGTTCATCGGTAAGCCCCTCATTTTCTGGGCGTCGTGTGGATTGAGTTGAGTCCTCCTCGGATTCATCTCCCTTCCTCCGTCTAGACAAACCTCGCCGGAGGTCGTCCAGGGCCAATGGCCTTGCTTTTCTTGAATGGTTGTCATGATGATGCTCGCCGGCTCTGGGTCGTTTTGGGGCCCTAGAGCTTTCTGCTTTGTTGTTTAGGTGGTTTCTTAGATCCTTCGTTTCCGCCTCCCGAGTGGGAAGCCCACGAGAAAGGAATGAATCCCTCGACCCTTCGCCAGAGGCGGCAAACTCGTTGAGCCGGCTTAGGACGTTTACATTGCCCTTTTCCAGCTGTCGTAATCTATCGCCAAACTTTTCTTCAATCACCTCCGCCAGCTGACGAGCCAAGTGGGCTGATCCCCCTGACCTGATTCTCATACTGGTTTGAGGGGTAACCCCTCTTGACCGAGTAGAGGCACTTTTATTCATATCGGTGTGATCCCTCCCTCCGTGATGACAGGGAGCTTGTAACTCGAGACTCCTTTGGTGGGGGCCTTTCCCTTTCTGTCGAGTGTTCACCATGGTTACTGTTCTTTATAGAGAAAAAACTAGAAAAACTAGTCGTTTCCCACAGACGGCGCCAGATTGTGATTGCAAGATCCTGCACAATATAAGAACGAGAACAGATCTCTCCCTTGGTGAACTCGAGTGAGCCAGTCGAGTGACCAACCATGCTGCTTGGAACAGCCTGCGAGGTCCGGTGGTAACTTGGAACAGCGACGGGAGACCCTGGGGGAGCGGAAGAACGATCCAGTAAGGCTGAAAGAGGTTCTTGGAACAAAGAAGAACAAGTTAGAAGGGCGCCGGAGTGTTTTTCGGCGTATCCCCTCCGACGATCTAGTCAGTCTTTGAGAAAGAGAGAGAAAGGAGAAAACACTGAGTGTGTATTGTAGTAAAGAGTTTTTTGTTGCATCCCCGTCTTGCCTTTTGCAAGGAGTATTTATACCTCAAAAGCTCATGATTGCTGTCAGTGTAGTCAGTAGGTGATCATTAGGTACAGGCAGTGTGCGCACTGATTCTGATGAGGAATGTCTTCTCTTCTTAACTGCTCGGGGTCCCGAGCAATCAATGCTGTGTCATCGGGATGCCGACGGTACAATTTACTCCTCTCGGGGAGGATGCAATAAATGCTCTGTATTAGGAGCATTTATTGCCTTTCATTTCCGAGCCTTACCGCATTGAATGCGGTCTCATCAAGGGAATGATGTAATTAATAGTTTGCTTTCCCAAGTCGCGTGTCAGCAACGGCATGCGGTTTCTCTGTTTTCGATGTGATATCATACGCCACGCGTCCATCCCCTATTGGCTGTGACCCCTGCCTTCCAGTACGTTCTGACACTAATTGTGTAAGACGAGGTCATGATGAATAGCCTAGACTAGCCTAGGCTAATAACCTGTACGTCAATAGCTTATCTTGGAGTAGAGGAAGCGTCCAGGACGGGGTACCTCTCGGCACCGAGGAAAGGCTTATCTCGGAACCGAGGGAGGTATGCCGACCGAGGTACCATATCAGACCGAGACCACGTGTCGGTTGTAAAACATACTGAATGCATGATCCTATATGACGAGTACCTCGGGGGCGAGGACCTTTGTGAGCCGATGGTGCTCGATCTTAGCAACAGTGTTTTGGTAATACCGAGAACACGTGTCTTCATCATGGAGCATTTCAGAAAAGTCCCTTCAAGAACATTGTAATTTTGATGTATTACATTCCTTGTCCTGTTTTGTCTTAGTTTTGCTACTTCCATTTTTTATTACTGCAAACAATATGAACATAAAGTTACATTTAACTCAATAGGGACAAGCAACGAACTGAAAAGAAGAGAAGCTTAGGTTTAGTTTTTTTGTTGCAAGTTCAAAAGAATAATAAATTCTGAAAAACAGGGAGGCAGTGGTGATAACTGTTAATAATATATCAGGATTCGTATCTATAGATAAGGACGGAAGTTGGGTTTGCACTAGCAGACATAAGCAAAAAACAAATCATCATCCAGTTGTGATTCCATTTTTTGCTTATGTGATTAATTTATTTACCACAGTTCCAGCGATTTTATTCCATTTTTTGTGCTTTATTTAGATTGCCTAATATTGGGAAATGAAAAGAGTGGTGATTATTACGTTGGTTTTGGGCATAAGAGAATGAAGTCCAAAGAGTTTATTTACAAATGGCCCTACATTAGAATGATGAATAACTTCAATCTATTCTCAAATAGCTCATGAGTATAGGAACTTTTATTTCCATCTTTTTTTTTTCTGTTAGATTTTTGAAACCTAAACTTTTAGAGTTCAATATTGTGGTTGATCTCATATTGATCTAACTATATACGATATGTCATGAATTTGAATGTACGTAATTATTAAAAAATACAGTATAGGATTGCCAAGTTTCCAACTCTATTTTTTCCTTGTTGTTTTTTGTGTTCGATTATTTTGGTATCTTGAAACTGCATATGTTTGATGGTTCAGATTTGCAAGCATATCATATTGGAATACGTTTATGGATAAGAGTTGGATACATTTACATAGATTGGACCTGTTGTGCGAACAAGGCGTTAAGAATTTTATCAAGTTTGCATGTGAAAATAAACCAAATGCACTGGAACTCACGTGCTCATGCAAAAAATGTCGTAATATTAGATTGGTAAAAGTGGAACTTTTGGAAGAGCACTTGACTGTAGATGGGTTTCTTGATACACTCGTTGGATTTTTCATAGGGAAAGTTCATTTGCTTCGGTTTCTAGAGATAATGAATCAAGTGACTCTAGTTTGGGAGATAAAATTCAAGAAATATTGCATGATGCATTTGGGATTCCTCCTCCAAGTCCAGTTTGTGGAATGAGTAGTGACGAACCTGAAAGGGATAGTAGAGAAGTGTCAAATCAGGCAACAAAAAAGTTTTTTAAACTGTTGAGTGAAGCTGAACGAAAGTTATATCCGGGATGTACCAAATTTTCGACATTGCCATCTATCGTTCAATTGATGCACATTAAGTGTCTTAATCGATGGAGCGACAAGTCATTCACAATATTGCTTCAAGTACTAAAGGATATGTTACTTGAGGGTAACACGTTGTCCACTTCATTTTATGCAACTAGGCAGTTGATTAAAGAGTTAGGTCTAGACTGCATTAAGGTACATGCATGTCCCAATGATTGCATGTTGTATTGGAAGGAGACAGCTGCTAGGAATAACTGCCAGAAATGTCAAACATCTAAATATAAACAAATTGATGGTCAAGAAGATGAAACAAATATTGGAGGGCAAAAAAATCCCGCAAAAAGTTGTAAGGTATTTCCTTTTAATATAGAGACTTCAGAGATTGTTTATGGAATTGTAGCAAGCATTGATGCAAAAGAGTGGATGAAAGGATATCTAATGAAGTCTATAGGGTGGAAGTGGAAAGATTAGAAGTGTGAGATTAAGAAACAAGCTTGTTATCCCAAACTCCAGATATTTGATATCTTTCTCTTTGAATAAGATCTTAATTCCAATGACAGTTCCAGCAGGTTAGGGGCAGTCCGGGCATAGGATCGAATCTTGCCACCTTTCTTGTGGATCATCCTGTGGTTACTAGATGATGTGAATTAAAAAGCAGAAATTTGGAAATAAGCACGAAATGTCAATATATGAATTGTTTCATTATTCGTTATTTTATAAATAGAATTGTTGATAAAAATCGTATATCGTTATATAATAAAGACAGAGAAAGAACACATTTTTTTATTCTTAGATTATATGTAATGTAACATAGTAATTATCTTTTTCAATTGGGAGAGATGGCTGAGTGGACTATAGCGGCGGTTGTACGAGTTTTAAAATTCTCAATTCTCTAGGACGTCTAGATGATAAAATATTTTCTGGAACGGATACTCCTTGCTCATTATCACACAATCACTTATTCACAAACCTCGCGTGAGGCTAATAGTTTTCAATTGTAGCCAATATCTTATTACGAATAATTTCGACAATTTCAGGAGAAAAAGAGGCATTTACATATTATAAAGATGGTGTAATTTGATTATTATTATTTTTTTGATGTAGAAAGATTAGCTTACAAGCCTAACCGAGTGGAGGAATCACAATGGCGGGCCTTGGTCTATTATTGGAGCACTCCGAAGGCACGGGTACAAATATGCAAGTGTAAATCTTGTCAATTCTAAAATAAGTCATTTCTCTTTCTTCAAATTTTTATGATAATTGCTTTTGGCATGTAATAGGGAAAAAGTGAGAGGAACAAACTCATTCGGAGCAAGAAAAAATTTCATCATACCATTGGCCGAACGAACTTTGCATGTGTTATGGAAAGGGTTTGTTAGAAAACAAATGTGTGTTATAAAAGACTTTTATTCAAGTTATTTATTGTGTCTATTTTAACTGTAGGAAAAGAAAAAGCATAATGGGAAGAAAATGAGTTGTATTGAAGTTTTTAAGGTTGCATATTCAAAGAAAGATGGTCGACCAGTTAATGATGCTGTTGCACAAGCCTTGGTATGCAATATTGGCAAGAAAGATGTTCACTATTTATCCATTCTTATTTTGCCTATGTTTCATATTTATTTCAAATTATTTTTTGCTAGAGTCAGACATGGATGAACTTGTGTCACAAATGCCAGAGTCTTCTATGCAATCTTCATCTGTAGTAGATGAAATTTTCACTCAAGTCATGGGACTGGAGTGACCTGGAGGTGTTAGAACATATGATTTTGGACCATCTTCGAGAGATGTGTTTGGACATAAAAAATCAGAAGAGATGCAAGAAATGCAGTCCCAGCGAGATGAGCAATTGAGCAGACATAAGGCAGAGATGAAGGCTAAGCAGTTAGAGATGGAGGCTTAGCAAGCACAAATGGAGAAGCAAATGACTCAGATGGAAGCTAAGTTTGAGGCTCAACAAAGACAATTTGTGGTTTTTCTTGTTAAAATGTGTGCAATGGGTATGCTTATTCCCAAACCAGCTCGCAAAAACATAGATCCACTTCAGGTTGAAAAGGTAATAAAAACTTTAGCGACTTATATTTCGAGTTAGAAGAGTTATTGTATTATTGTATTATTTTTTTCCATGAATATTAAGTATTTGCAATCTTAAAAGGTACTTGATGCATCTAGTACTCATAATATAAACTCTCATCGATCATCGATGAGGAGTGAGTCAAGAAGTCCGGCAGTGCAAGACATAGAGTTTCAAGGTCATTCTAGAGCATCTTCATTTGGTCAGGTGAATCAATAAATGGAATAGTAGCTAAAATATTACATGAGTTTGTTGACTAGTATCTTTTTTTGTTAGTTAAATATCTTTGCTTGTTGGGTTTGAGTTTGATGTTATTGGAAATACAAATATGTTCATTTTTATTGTTTTATATGGAATTCATGTGTTAATTTATATTAAATGTAGGTTCATCAACAAAAGAGAGCGAAATTGCAGCATGTTAATAACAATGAAGCGAAATTCCCTCCCAAATGACTCTCCCTCTTCCATGCCATGGATATGTCAATAGTTGGTAAATAGGCGATGGTGGCTGCTCTAGGTAATTCGAAAGATTACACAATGAAGCAGTATGTTGTGTTTGTGGATAAGTTGCAGGCAAAATAGTGAATAAGAGTGACTTTGATGCTTATAAACCTCTTATTTCTTGTGATCTTGATGTGCTATGCTATAATTTGACTGAACTATTAGGAATTAGGGTCCTTGACACTTCTAACACTTATCATTTGACAGCAAAAATATTGGGCATTGAAATCTTAATTTCTAAAACTGCATTGGGTGTTTTGGGTGTTTTGTTCCAGTTGTGGAACCTTCCCTCTTCTTGTTTCTTTTAGTTCATGAGATGGTTTCCCTTTGGTGCTATCCATTTGGTGTTGTCCCTGCAGTGTTGCCCACTGTCGCCTTGGTGTTTTCTGCTCTGTCTGCTCACAGTATGTTAGGCATCCCCAATGTTTTATGCTCTGTCTGCAACACGTTAGTGTGAATTTTTCTGTTTTCTCAGATTGTTTGGATCTATGGTGAGGAATTTAGTTGGAAGTTTAAGCTCAACTAAATATGGAACTGCTGACATATTCAATTTGAGTAGTCTTTTTTGTTGCGAATGAAACTCTGTCGAATGCCAGTTATTATTGCTGGTTTCAGTTTGTTTGAGCATTGGAAAACTTGTTGGAGCCTAATTGTTTTGGAATTGAAGTTTATCATGCCTCTGTTGCTGCGGGTTGCTGCAAGATTGTTTCGGCGAATGTCGTCACCCTCCCGGTGGCCCACATCGTTTCTGATCGGTCGGGGCAGAAATATAGTGCAATAACAATGGCGATTTTGGCTTGTCGATGCATATGATTATATATGTTAACACCATGATGAATTTTGGAGGTTTTAATTGCATGTTTTTGTCCTTCTACTGGATGGTCAAATCTTCTTTACTTTTTGTAAACCTTCAGATTATGACAATTTGGTTTTGATGGAATTTTATGTAAGACTTATTATTAATACGGGCATGGTTATGAGTGCTCTCTCTCTCTCTCCATCTCTCTGTCTCTCCTGCCAAAAAAAGTGAAAATGCAATGAGCTAGGTTTTATTATACAAAAAAATATCAATTATCATTACTGACGTTTAAATAAACGCCGAAAATCAGTTGTTTAGAAATAATAATTACTAGCGTTTATATAAATGTAGTGAAATAGCTCGGGCCATCGAAACTTAACAATGAAGTTGTCGATTAAATAAGCATCGCTTCAACGTATAGCAAATGTCACTTTAGTTTTTGTAGTGTTTAATTATACATTCGTAATTTTTCTGACGGAGGTTTTAACAATGTTAATAACAAACGTTAATAATAATATTTTGTGGCATTTATTTACATTTTAGCGGTGTTTAATAAACGCCAGTAAAAGTCTTTTTTCTTGTAATGAGCAATGGCATTTGGTCAACTGACTTGGGGTTCTTGGAGAGCCTTGATGACAGTGTTGGAAGAGAAAATGATGTGAATGGTACAATGAAAGAGTTGGTTGATTCAGTGAAATGGCCGGGGGATCTAGAGCCGCCTCGGGTTCCCAAAGGATGGTCAATGCCTACAGCTAAGAATAAACTGAAGATTGGGTTTCCAAGTGAAGCCTCTTTCAAGCAGTTTGTGAATGTAGAATTGCCCAATAATCACAGTGAAAAAAAACCTACTGGTTTACTGCTTCTGTGTCTTCGAGGAGATTGAAAAATTTTTGGAATATAGGGTACTTGCTGAATTTGTGGAGAGTGAAAGCTCCTATGATGAACTAGTTGCTCGGCTTGCTGATAAGGTAACAATTCTGTCACTAAATTTTTCTTGAAGCCTCTGATAATATCATAGGCCATTTTCGAATTGAATAACTAAGATACACCAGTTTAAGGTTCTAGACTAGACAATTGTTAACAAACATGACTATTTGGTTCCACCAAACATGACTATATCTGTACACTTTTGTTATTTTCAATGAATTGCACAAAAAATTTTACAATGGTCACAACACAGACATTTACTTCACCCCTTGCCGCTTAGTTGTCCACAACATATACTTATGTTGGTTTTTGAGGTGTGTTTATCTTTGAATTTAAAGCTAATGAGTCAATCTCTTTTTCTGTTCATTCTAACCTTTACAATCCAAAAGTGTCATATGGTTGGTGTCAATGACATTTGGTCTGATTTAATGTTAAGCGACGGCGATGGGATTTGAACCTTCTTGCCAACTCCTGAAAAAAGAAAATTTTTCCGATTCACTATTGATATGTAGTTGGTTTAAAATCAAACATTGTGAACAACAACTGCAAATTTACAATTGTCCCACTTACAAAAGCCCCTTGATTTTGTGGTAGATTTTCTTTTTCTGTTTGTGTGTGAGAGAGAGAGAGAGAGAGAGAGAGAGAGAGAGAGAGAGAGAGAGAGAGAGAGAGAGAGAGAGAGAGAGCAACTTAAGTCAATTATGTGGAGTTGTTTTTTTGTGTTATTGTTTTTGGGGTTTGGTGGGTGGGTTCTTTTGAGAAAGGAAAACTATTGCAAAGGCACTATGGGATTCATGAATATTCTTGAGTTTGTTGGGTTTTATTTGTGGAGTCTACTTTGTGTTGATCCGGATGATGATCCGATCCGAAATAATGTTGTGTGATTTTTTTAATAGGAAATTTTCTAATTTGTCCAAGCCTCTGCTCCATGGACAAGCCTTGTGGGGGTCCGAGGGCAACGCCTTGGGAAAAATTTTTTGGGCTTGTTTTGTAGTCTAGTGCATAGGACATATAAAAACTATTATTTTGGTGATTAGGGTTGTATCGGTACTGTATGGTCGTTCTCTGTACTTCTTCTCAATAGTAAATATCCTACAGTTTCATGGACATAGGTAAATTGTCAAATCACGTAAATATTGTTTTTTGTGTGTATGATTGTTTTTCTTTGACGAATGTTTTCTCTATTTTTGTTTCTCACAGGTTTGAAAATTTCATGCAAATTTTTTTAACGAAGTTGGTGTCTAATATCTCTTAAATTTTTTCATCACTGACGAGGATGTATGCTTCTTGTGTGAATCAAATCTTATGGAAAACTTATGATGGTATTGTTGGTGATATCACGATACGAGCGGACCGTTCAAAGTACGTGGAATTCACTGAACCATTTACAGAATCAGTGCTCTCCTTGATAGTTCTAGTGAAGCCAGAAGCTCCCACTGGATGGATGTTTTTGAAGCCTTTCACCTGGGAAATGTGGACAGCAACTGGGATCATCTTGATTTAGACAATGTTTGTAGTTTGGTTCTTCGTGCATCGATCTAATCCAGAATTCAGTGGCACATGGAGGGATTAGCTTGCCAAGTCGCTTTGGTTCACCTTCTGTACTCTTTTCTTTGCTCATAGTAAGTACATTTTTTGTCGGGCTAGTGAAGCAAAAACACTGATCCTATTTAGTTTACAGCTCAAAAGCTGTTTTCTGTTTTCGGAAACATTTGAAGAAAAGTTGTTTGGACAGTTACTTTTTGTTTTTATTTTTTGAAAACTGAGAATAAAAACTAGACAGATTTATAAAATAAGTTGGAGTTGTTTTATGTGTTTTTAGAAACAACTTTTCCTGAATTTAGAAAACACCACTACCACTACTACCACCACCACCACCACACTACAACCTCCACCACAACATTTTTGTTTTCATTGTTTTCTAAGTTACTATCCAAACAAATTTTACTGTTTTCTATTTCGTAGAACTATTTTTAGAATTATATAACCAATCAACTTCTGCGATATAAAAAAATACCAAAAATATTTTTTTAAAACTCTTCACAAAAATAATTTTAAATTATTATTTTTTGAGCCGTAAACCAAACAATGCCACCCATTTTTGTTGTCTTGGTTGAATAAGCCTGCCTATTAGAAACAACCATGTCAAAATGAGAAATTATATATATATATATATATATATATATATATATATATATCATTCATTTGGTTCATAACAGAGGAGAAAGTTCAAAGCAACTATACTCGAGTGGTGGTCGGGGAGTGGCTTTTTGTGGTGTTGATCTTAACACAAAGTTACACTGCTAGCGATATTCTATCACTCCGTCCATCTACAGATTTGGAGGATTTGGTTTTGTAAGTGAATACACATGTTTTTGTTTATTTCCTGTGAACAACCCACAATATTGTTCTTACATGTCCTCGATCGATGCAGGCATTCCAGAAAGGTTCTCCGATAGCTGTAGATGTATCTGATGCCATTCTACATCTATCAGAAAATGGCAAGCTGAAAGAATTAGAAGATAGACTGTTTACTCCTTCCTCTGAATGTTCAACGTTGCAAATTGCTGAAGACAAGGATAGCTTGCAGATTCAGAGCTTCTAGGGTCTATACCTCATCTCCATTGCCACTTCAACCATTTGTTTTCTGTCATTCATCATACACTTACTATGAATTACCGAAACCACAAGAAGAACAAGTTGGCGACATCAACTCAAGTTATGACAACATTTGGAAGAGGGCACAGAGACTGGCACAATACTTGAATAACGTAGAGATTAGCAATTCCAGAGACAACTCCAACCACTGGTAGGTACTCAGGCAACAAACAATACACAACATGTTTTAAAGTATCTGATTTTTGGCCAACCATCGATATTATGCAGAATTATCGTGACGATTTATTGTTAATAATATGCACTTAGGTCACACTACCTATGATATAAAT